AAAAAAAAAAAAAAAAAAAGAGATATTTATAGGACTAAATGTCCACATTAAAAAGTTAGAAACATCTCAAATTAACAACCTAAACCACAAGTAGAAGAACTAGAGGAACAAGAGCAAACTAACCCCAAAGCGAGCAGAAGACAAGAAATAACCAAAATCAGAGCTGAATTAAAGGAAAATCTAGACACATACAGAAGATCAACAAATCCAGGAGTGTCTTCTTTGAAAAAACTAGTAAGATAGATAGACCGCTTGTTAGAAAAAAACCGAAGATCAAAATAAACACAATTAGAAATAACAAAGGGAATAGTAGAAATGACGCATAAATACAAAAAGAATCCCATCAGAGAGTACTATAAACACCTTCATACATACAAACAAGAAAATTTGGAAGAAATGGACAAATTCCTACACACATACATCCTCTTCAGACTGAAGAAGGAAGAAAATGAATCCCTGAATGGACTAATAACAAGTTCCAAAACTGAATCAGCTGGCAGAGACACAACAGAAAAAGGCCAATATCCTTGATGAACATTGATGTAAAAATCCTCAACAAAATACTAGCAAACTGAATCCAGCACAGCAAAAGGCTAATCCACCATGATCAAGTCAGATTTATCCCTGAGATGCAAGCTTGGTTCAACATATGAAAATAAATAAATGTGATTCATCACATAAACACAATTAAAGACCAAAACCACATGATTATCTCAAGAGATGCAGAAAAGGCTTTAACATTTTTCCTACCATGTTAAAAACCTCCAATAAACTAGACCATATACTTTAAAATAATAAGACATATCTAGGACAAACCCCCAGACAACATCATACCAAATAATGGATAGAAGCTGGAAGCATTCCCCTTGAAAACTGGCACAAGACAAGGATGCCTTCTCTCACCACTCCTATTAAACATAGTATTGGAAATCCTGCCCAGGACAATCAAGCAAAAAAAGGAAAATAAGGGCATCCAAATAAAAAGAGAGGAGTCCAACTATCAGTTTGCAGACGACATGATTCTACATCTAGAAAACCCCATATTCTCTGCCCCAAATCTCCTTGAGCTGAGAAAAGACTTCAGCAAAGTTTCATGATACAAAATCAACACACAAAAATCAGAAGCATTCCTATACACCAACAACATTTAAGCTAAGAACCAAATCAGAAATGTAGTCCAATTCACAATTACCACAAAAAGAATAAAATAGGCACACAGCCAATTAGGGTGGTGAAAGACCTCTACAATGAGAGTTACAAAATAGGGCTCAAAACATAGACCAACACATAGACACAAAAACATAGACCAACATTCCATGTCATGGATAGGAAAAACAGGTATCATTAAAATGGCCGCAATGTCTAAAACAATTTACAGATTCAATGCTATTCTTATCAAACTACCAATGACATTCTTCACAGAACTAGAAAAACATTTTTTTTTGAACAAAAGCATGTTGAAATGTATTAGAATCAGAACCTGTACAAAAAAATTAAAATATAACCTGAAACTGTTCAAGTCCTTTTCTCTTGCCAGGAGAATGTCATCATCAGAGGGCTTTCAGTCATCACCAAGGAGGGGTGGAAAGACACACGGAAGCAGCAACAGGTCCTTCAGCAGACAGAGGGACATTGGTGCCACCATCCCTACCCAGGTGGAGCCAGGAGGAATTAAAGATCTCAGGAGAGAGCAAGCATTAGCCGGCAGCCCCAATGGGCAGCTGGGGTCTACACACCAAATACAAGGCTGAGTAGTCAGAGGGAGCAGGAAGAGTGGCCAGGAGAGAACACCAAGCTGGAACCACTTCTGCCTCCCAGCAGACCCACAGCACCCTCTGTCTGTGCTCAGATAGCAGAGGTTAGTCAACCCAGCACTCTCAATTAATCGGGGATTGAAGGTGGGCTTAAGAGGCTGAAAACCCGTGGGTTTAGTAAACATAGCCCAGCATCACGTCCCTCGATGGCCTGAACTGGAGCTGCCAACAAGGGGTGAGGCAGAAGAGGGAAAGCAGAGCATCTTAACGCCTGGCTAGAGATCGCTGCACCATCATGGGGACTGTGGTATGAGGGGCTGGAGAGGAATGCCCCCTCCTCACAAGGGGAGGGGCCTCCTTCACAGTCATCACTAGGGGCTGGTTAAAGCTGCCTCCAGCTTGTAACCACATTGACAAAACGACATGGAGCAAAAGAAAAACTGGGAGGGAGACAAGCCCTTACACAGAGACAAGAACCTCCTGGAGGGAAGCTGGGCAGTGTCTGACCCTGTTGGGATGGCATTGGCGGAGCCCCTGAGTCTGAAGGAACAACTGGGGGAGGAGGGAGTGGGTGAGGGGGATTAACAGTTTTTCTGGAACAGTACCAAGAGGGTGGGGAGGCGCTGGTGAGGGGACGGGCAGGTCTGGAACTCACTGCAGGTAGAGAGGGCAGGAAATGGGCCCTTGGTGTCCCCTCCCCACCTGACCCAGGCCTGGTAAGTGCCAGCTGCCCCAGCTGGCCCTAGTGGCAGTTGGAGACCAGATCTTTCACTTTGCACATCTTCTTGGTGGGCTGCCTCTGCTCAGCGTGAGGGGGACACTCCCGTTCAGCCAGCTGCTGCTCCATCTCCTGAGCCGAAGAGGATGCCGTGGCATTGAGTGTCTTCTTGATGTTGGTTACTTCTGCTTCTACCTGCTGCTGAGTTCGGTTGTGGTTCTCTTTGTACTGGTTGGCACTCAGAACTTGCTGCTCGATGCCCAGCAGAACTGCTTGACAGCTGTCACACCATTCATGCAGGGTCTTGACAATATTATTGATATCCTTCTTTCAGATGTCACGGTCAATGCAGAAATGCACTTCCAGCAGCTGGTTTCGCTGGTCCAGCTTGCCTTGGATGATGTCAGTGTAGACAGCCTCAATGATGAGGTCTTCTAGTTCCTGGAGATTCCGCATCTCCAGGTCTTTCAGCAACACAGAGTAGGGGATACATTTCATTCTTGATGCCAAGCTCACGATGGTAAGATGCTTCAGCTTGTTCTGCTGAGCTGTGCTCAGTTCTGGCAGGCTCTCTTTGTTGGCTATGTAATCTGGATATGTCCCATAGACAAACAGGTTCAACAACTGCAAATAAGCAGCATTAGCTCCTTCTGCAACCTCCTGCAGCTCCAGGAGTTGGCCAGCTCCAGAAGTTCTCCAAAGACATACACTCCAGGGGGCCTCTAAGAACTGGCTTATGAGAGCAGTGAGGGCTGAGCCACTGGTACCTTTGGCTAGTAAAATAAACTGCTCCAGGAGGTTACTTGAGGGCTTCTGTTCCCCTGCCATTGTCTGGCCTTGAACTGTATCTGTACCACCTCTCTGTCCTGAGTCACTGGCTCAGCCTCCTGGCGCTTGCCCGCAGGTTGTCAAGCATCCATGATCAGCCCGGCATCCCAGAAAATTTTTTTTTAAACATTTATGTGAAAACAAAAAAGAACGCAAATAGCCAAGCCAATCCTAAGCAAACAGAGCAAAGCCAGAGGCATCAGGTTACCCAACCTCAAACTACATTACAGGGTTACAGTAAACAAAACAGCATGATGCTATTACAAAAACAGACAACAACCAATGGAACAGAATAGAGAGCCCAGAAATAATGATGTATACCTACAACCACCTGCTCTTTGACAACACTGACAAAAGCAAGCAATGGTGCTGGGATAATGGCTAGCTATATGCAGAAGACTGAAGCTAGACCCCTTTCCTACACCATATACAAATATTAACTCAGTGAATTAAAGATTTAAATGTAAAACCCAAAACTACAAAAACCCTGGAAGATAATCTAGGAAATACTCTTCTGGACATAGGACCTGGAAAAGACTTAATGATGAATACTCCAAAAGTAACTGCAACAAAAGCAAAAATTGAGAAATTGGATCTAATTAAACTAAAATGCTTCTGCGCAGCCAAAGAAACTATCGACAGAGTAAACAATCTACAAAATGTGAAAAAATAATTTCCAAACTATGCATTCAACAAAGTTTTAATATCTATAATCTAGAAGAAACTTAAATTTACAAGAAAAAACAAACTACCCCAATAAAAAGTGAGCAAAATACATGAATACTTTTCAAAAGAAGACATACATGTGGCTAAGCAACATGTAAAAAATCAACATCACTAATCATTAGACAAATGAAAATCAAAACCACAATGAGATACTATCTCATACCAGTCAGAATAGCTATTATTAAAAAGTAAAAAAAAATAAGAGATGCTGTTCAGGTTGCAGAGTAAAGGAAATACTTGTTTTTTCGATCCAAGATGGCCGTTTAGGAACAGCTCAGGATTGCAGCTCCCAGTGAAAGCGCAGAGGGTGAGTGGACGCCGCGTTTTTATTGCCCACAGACTAGGAAATTCCCGGGCGGAAGAGCTCCACGGTTGCCAGCGCGGCTGTTTCAGCCGGCGCCGCTGCTTTGTCCCGCACGGCTGCTTTGTCGGCACCCCAGAGCCGCAGT